GCTTCCCCTAGTTCTCCTAGTTGCACCTCTGCCTACAACCTAGCAAGTCTACCTCGGCTTTGTTCTCCTCTTAAGCACAATACTTGTAGGCCTATAGCCTTCAAATGCAAACACACCCTGTCCACCACCTCAACGGGAACATCCAAGCGCCGTCCGTCCGGCCCGGTCATAAAACGCGAGGTGCTTCAGAAGCTCCAGCCGCGAAAGCAGCAGCCCCGGCGCTGGGGCGGCCGCCGCATCGCACCACACCTCGAATCCCACTGAACAGTTGCAGAGTCCTCCCTCTTTCCAGTGGAAATGGACTCGTCTGGTGGAAGTGGACACGGGAAAACTACACACATATCTTTTTCATGGCCTTTCTGAGCTGGATCTCTAGGGGTTCGGGGACACTGGCAGATCCGATTCCAGAGTCGAATAGCTGCCGAGCCCAGCGAACCCCGGTGGGAAAGAACGCGTTCCTCGCAAATAAAACGACCGTGTGGAATCCAACAACTGAAGTGAGGAAGATTGTGCTCGTTGAAGCGAAAGGAACAAAACTCCGATTGCCCGGCGTCCCTGAAAGATTCGGTAGATTCGTGGTTGTAAGACCCACATGACGCACGACCAGCAAATCAAAGGTAAGTCGTTTGGCATCATGAATAGAAATGGACTACAAGTAAGAAACCAAATAGGAAAACATGCACAATCGAGCAACTGCTCGACACAACCATCGGCTCATCAGCAGCTCGAATCGGATTCCCAGGTTTTCTATAGAACGGAGATGAGTTGGCTTCGGACTTGCAGATGTGTACACTGAAAACCGGGAAAGTGGTCATCAACGCAGGTGTTTCAGTGACCTGATAGAAATTAGAAGGGAAGAAGGGAACTGGGTCGAGCTTACATCTACGGATAACATTCATGCGAAAGGTCAACGAGGGCTGAGCGAATCAGCACATCACTGGGTATATGATACGGTATATGTGTAAATTAGCCACCCTTCAAATCGCCGGTTTCATGTTGGGGCCCTTTTCAATTTGGGTGACCCTACATGGTTTCGAATACAAACATCTACAATACTATATACATCCATATCAAATGAAACAAACGCAGGAACCTGCTTTTTGAGCGTTCATTTAGGGTCACCTCTTAAATGGAACGGAACTCTGTCCGTGTTTCTTGCTTGACGTAGGTGCCCCCCAGAATTGCTGTTGTTGAAAAAGAGGTACCCAAAAAACAAGCACGCACGCACACACACACACACCCATCTGCTGTTTAGTCGATTTCGCGAAGTAGAACGGACCGGTAAACAAAGCACGGCAAATTAAGTAGCTAAACTAGTTGCTTGACAACAAACAAACTCGTTCTGGCACACACCATACATAGTGACTCGCCGGATCAAACTGCTAAAGCTTACAACAGCACGCACATAGAACATGTAGAATTCAATCATATACACATATGATATATGTGTATCCAATACTGTACATATGTATATATATATATATATGTTTCCACACAACATGGTTGCCAACTCTAAGACCATACCCTTACGCACACACACACACACGGACAAGCGCACACACCCACAAACCCACAAACCCACAAACCCACAAACCCACAAACCCACAAACCCACAAACCCACAAACCCACGCACGCACGCGCGCGCACGCGCACACACACACACACATGACACAAACGGAAGACAAAGCACACCAAGCTGGCATCCATGTCTGTGCCGCAAACATGGTGGTCCGAGTATTGCTGACCAACTGCTCCCTCAGAAACCTACACAAACTTGCAGTGGCCCAAGTGCTTAAACAATGCACCTACGGAACATGACCCCCCTTCGCCAGTGTCGTGAGGAACCCCGCATCTGGCGCCCCCTGATTTCCTGAGTCGAAGTGGCAGCCAGAAGCATCATCGAACTCTCCGTGCAAGACCTTAGTCTTCATTCGACTTGGATGTTCAACCCACCTAAGTAGATGATAACCAACCTGGAGATTCCAATGTAGGTGTTGTGCTTATGTGTGCGTCTTTTTGCGTTCGTTTGCCCCCCGTTTTTTTGCGGGATTTCCGGTTTCAAAGCGTTTGCGCAGTTTGCGGGCGCAAAGCGGAGAGAACAAAGCAACCAACAACAAGCTCAAGCTCAACTGGGTGTGTATCCAAATAGGGAACCCCGGAAATGGGTAAAGTTTCTACAGCTTCCCGCCTTACTTGCACACTGGCTTAATTGCTCGCTTGCACGTGCCCCCCCCACACATCGCATTTCATTTTGCGAACGTTTGAAGAGACACGTGTCTTACCAGCCACAGGTGCACCCCACATATTGCGGCGTATGTGAAATGCACCATACTTGTCCCACCATGGTGTAGGTGATTTGTCGAAATCTTCCATTTTGAGGACCTTCAAATCTGACGGCCTCCATGAGGGGCTTTTAGCTTTTAGCCGTCTCAACGGTGCAATGTGGTGTGAGTCCCAAGCCCGATTCCCGCCTTTGCGACTCATTGCAACATGGATAGGGGACCCCCCAAAACAAAATACATGAGTGTTTTCCTGTTGGCTTTACACCAAAGTGAAAAGGGTAGCCTCCCAAAAACGCACACAACCACAAACACAAAGACACGCATCGAGTGACTGGATCCACTTTTGGCAAGGGGCAGAAAGCATCGGCAGGCCACCAGGGCTTTCTCGGTGAAGAAGATCACGCCCTGGCGCTACACTTGCCAGACCGCTGCTGTTTCCTTTTAAGTGAAGGGTTGCTTCACGCCAAAAAAACATCCACCAGCTCAAAACAAACATGGAACCTTCGAGCGGGTCCCTCTATCGAGGAAAATGGGGCTTGCAGGAGGTCTCGTGGCTGCACGAGGGTAGCCAAGAAGCAGAAAGCCGACGTGGTCGGGCCTCGAAGTCTGACCTCTCCTCTGGCACAACGTACTGCTCGGCGCACTTGTATTCAGTGGCTGCCTGGGCCGCCCCAAGACCCCACTTAGATGGTCTTGGACGAATGGCTAAATGGTTACCCTCCCACCAGCCAACATGGAAGTGCACAGACGCCTGTAGAAAGACATTTGCACCTCCATGTTAGTTGGTGGGAGGGTAGTAGCCCTGGTTGTAGTGGACCTGGGACCATGCCTTTGGTACGTTACAACCAGGGAACTACTAACCACTTGGTGAACTCCCAGACCATCTAAGAAGGAGCTCCCAAGCAAAGTTCTTGAAAAAGGCAACGAACCCAAATGAAGCAACGGGATCCTTGCCACCGGCAAATACAAAAAAAGCTCATCCGCCATAAGTCATGAGGCTTAAAAAACTGATATATATATATACAAACACACACACACACACGCACACCCCTCCCAGGGCAACTGTTGGCAGTTGGTTGAGGTCACCCAACTATGCCCCCCCCCATCGCAGCTGACAGGGAGCGTGCTGGAAGAAATTTGAAAGGGTAGGACAACGCCCCCTCCTCAACGAACCCAATTGCTGGCACAACTTCTCACCTCGACTAAGGCCCTGGCGCTGCTCAACAGCATCACTGCAGCATGGTCCACCTCCGGTGCGGCGCACTTGACCCGACGGCTCCATTTGGTTTTGCCTTGAAAGAAAACCTTCCACCAAAAAGCACGTTGTTGCTGTTTCTGTTGCTTTATTTTTTTTGGAGGGGAGGTCCCTACTATTTGAGACAAACCCATACTTCTCACTGATTTGAAAGTCATGAAACCATTCGTCGACCCGAAAAAGGTTCTTAATGAATACTTGTGAGGCTGGACGACACAGGAACTTTTCCAGGAAGCTAGTCGTTCCAACAAACACTCCCATCGGAATTCCGCGCTTAGTGCTGATGACGGGTGCTCAATACCTGGTCGGAACGTGAACTAACAGTAGAGCATGGTCATTTAGACCACCATGGTTGGGTGGGGGGCCGGATCACAGTACTAGCGGTTCGCCTCGAACCCTTTGACTGCTATGGGAATGTGTCAAAACCAAAACGAGTTGGACCAGACTGAACCTGTTGCCTGGATGTGAACAAGCTGAGGTCAGTGCCAAGGGAAATGAACCCATTCATCACCTTGGAGTCGGTACATCCAACATGACACAGCTTAAGGAGTCTGTACAGATGTTGACACAGGGTCACATGAGAAGGTGCCAATCATGCGTTGATCCTGTGCCGGGGGGGGTTACGCATAGCCATGTGGGTGTGAATCAAAACAGGGCACCCCAAAAAAAAGTGTCTGCACCTTTCTGTTCCCTTCAAATACCAAAAGCTGAGAAACTTTCAGGGTGCCAAAACAAGGTCCACCATTCTGAGAAACTCCCGAGTCATTTTTGTTCAGGGGTCTAAGAGTGGAACAGTGCAGAACCATGTCCTTTCGACTATCAACCGGTTCCAAACGGCCTCTGGGTACAGCATTTTGCTGCGTCACTGCTACCCTGAAGAGACTTTGATAAGCTAAGAATGAAAAGTGGAGAACAAACTGAAAAGTAACATAAGCAGCGCGCAACTAGGGCTCTGCAGCAGCACGCCCACCCCGTTCCAGCTGAATATATCGTTGCTTGCTCAATCAATGAAAAAAGTGATACTGGCTGACTTGATTACTGCAAAGCGTACCTTAGTCGCAAAGCAGTTTCAGTGTGGCTGATGCCACTCATGGCCCCTTTCAATAACAGAGAGCTGTAGACTAGAAAACGATGGCCAGGAATCGAAAAAGTCAGCTTACGTTGTATTTCGCTTCCGTTCGAAACAACACAAAATGAGGAACCCTCACAAAAGAAGCAAGTTGGGGATCCCGCATGCAGTTTCTATTTGGTTTCTGCGATTGAGCCACCCGTTTTTGCTCTCTGTCACAGCAACCATCAAGATGGGGGCCCTTTCTTGTAGCCAATTTGGCTGCAATGCATCACGCGTTCCTCGAGAAGGAAACAGGACCTCAGCATTTGCGCGAGGCCTCTTCAGCCCATAGCCGCCCATGGGACAAAACGATTTGCTGATAGAGCTAACGTTGCAAATCATTACGACTCAACTGCTGTTCTTAAACAACCCTTGCGCGCAAGGCGTTTGCGCTAACCGCGGCAGTGAGCGCCGCATTGAACGCTACAGTGCGCACTACATTGAACACTACATTGAACACTCATTGAACACTACATTGAACACTACATTGAGCACTGCCAAAAGCGCGCAAATACCGGCAGTTTCAGCTGCGCTCCTTCTTTGAGGTAAAGGAAATCAAGAAAGCTTCAACTTCTTTCCAAATTTAGCCGATTTGTAGCAAGTGCTGGTGTTTACACGATTTTGGTAGTGTTCAATGTAGTGTTCAATGAGTGTTGAATGTAGTGTTCAATGCAGTGTTCACAAAGACTAGCGTTCAACCTATCGCTGAATGCTTTTTTCTCCCTTTACGCGCTGGAGCCCATGTTTACTTGGCTGGCAAGTTGTGCGACTTTGCTGAGTTGTGTTTGAGTTGTTGGCTGGTCAGCCCATAGCCGCCCATGGGACAAAACGATTTGCTGATAGAGCTAACGTGACAAATCATTGCTGTTGACGGACGAAATCCTGCACCGCTTTTGTCATGGGGAAACAAACCCTTGCGCTCCCCATTTAACATTGGAAGTTTGAGGGCCCTTGTTTGCAAACATGTTGGAATGACCGGAATCCTGCGCCACCTTTGTGAATGCCAACAGGGAGCAGCCTGTTCAGTGGCAGAATGGAGTTGGCTGAGGCGGTGCAGGATTTCGTCCGTCAACCGTATCAAGTATGGTTTCGATTCCTGTCAGGCTTCTGTGGCCTCTTTTGGATGCGCAGAGGCAATGATGCTGCCGCTCTCGTGGATCAGCATGATATTCCTCGGGCTCTGCCGAAAAAAAAGCTGGCTCGATTGGGAGGCTGATTGAAATCCTCAATGAACAAAATATGTCCAGCAAAGTTATGCCTGCAACTCGATATGATGCCGACTCCCCCCCCCAATCCATTTGGGTGTTCTCCATACAACGGATCCCTGAAGATAGGATTCCTGCAGAATTTTCAAAAACCGCTCCCTATTTGAGACACTTGGTCGAACCACGGAACACAAGTCACACAGTGTCGGCCCTGGGTAAATCAACCCTAGGCGATGTGGATTCAATATCGTCCTCTGCTGAATCCATCCTTTCCCATGTCTTTCGCCGCTGCAGGCAGGGCGCTTCATCTCATCCTGAGCGAGCGACGCGCAAAGACGTCTGTGGACTATGGGAAAGGAATCGTCTGAGAACACATTGGTGTATCTTGAACGTGCATGCGTGTGCATGCATGATAATTACATGTTTGCCGTGTTGTCACAAATGTGGTGCAATGGCATTGCTGCAACTCAACATAGGCAATCACACCACATGTGTATGCACGTGTGCGTATGAACATGCAGGTCATACTTAACCATCCTTCCTGCGCACCCAATGCATGCATGCATCAAAGCATTGATTGATCAAGCAATCTGACTGTCTGCCCAACCACAAGGAACCCGAATACAACTAGGCATGTGTAGTTGGTTGAAATGTGTATTTGGCTGATCCTTTGGACAGGCCAAGCAAAGCAACCACACACGCCATGGTGCAGTAAAGGTTTTGTTGCTCCCGTCAGTCCTTGCAGAGTTCAGGAATCAGCACTGAACATGACTTTCTTTAGCTTTGCCAGTCTCATTAAGACACTTGTGCAAGCATCAATTTAACGGGCAATCCTTTGTATCAACCGCAAATCATAACAATAAGTTGGTAAGTTGCAAGTCTGTTTAGGGCAGCGCTGCAACTTGCGACAAAGTATGGGCGTTGGGGTAGCGTTTGTCGAAACGCGTAGATGTGAGGATTGGGATGTGTCATATCTCTTTGAGAGCCAAAGGGAGGTTGGACGCACCCTCTTAACCAACCAAGCTTCCGATTTCCTTTCGCCTGAGCTGACAGCTGACTTCAGTGGTAGGGAAAGCGAATCAACTTCTGTGAAATCACAGTTTGGCGTCCTTCCACCAAGCATGGAACCGCATAGGAATCACTTCAAAAGGGAAGTCCGTCTTCCAAACTTGTTGGTAGATGATTCGCGTTGTCCAAGTTCATGTCTTTGGAGGGCCATTGCAAATGACCTAGTGACTATTGGCGTATGTCAGTCCCACTGCTCCCCCTGCCATGACTCTAAACCAGAATTGGAGCCTTGCCCCTTAGCCAAACTCACTGCCTATCCGAGACTTCATCGACCGTCGCTCAGATCACTTGACAATCAGCAAATCAGGATTCTCCCCTTGAAGGAACGCGGAGTCACATTTTTATGGCCAAGCGGTGGTCTTAGAAGGGTGGCCAAAAAAGCAACAACTCGGAGGACGAGCTTTGACCGTCGCGGCGCCGTGATGCAGCCCCGAAGGGCCGCCTCGATCTCCTGTCGAGATCGAAAAACCACCCTGCTGCGGCTGCGACAAGCAATCAGATCCCGTTGTTTGGGTGACCCGTTGAATGGGTTCTCATAGCTGAGTTCCTTCCCAATCTACGCACATTGATCATGCTTGAGTGCAAGCGATCGGAGCCGCTATTAGAACCCGTTAAATGGGCCGGATGGTTCTAAAGGGAAGCCAATGTGGGTATGTGTCAAAATAGGAGGAACATTACAAAAATGGTGGCTTTCCTTTTGGTTTGCCATAGCACCAGCTTGAAAAGGATGCCCTCCCAAAAACAAACACGGCGACCCCACACAAGCACACACAACACACACACACACACTCACACAGGGTGGATCGTTCTTGAGACGAGCCGCGAGTGGTAGGCATGTAACAGCTAACAGCCTTTGTTCCTCAAGTAGTGAGGAACTCGTCCAGACTCCTTCACATTGCTTAGCTACCAAACGACAACTACCGATAGATCACCAATAACTTTGCCAGTTGCTCTCCTTTCTTGTTTGCGGAGAACCTAAGGACAATCGGCCCATGACTCTTCCGTCCCTGACTCTTCCGCGAGCCAGAGGATCCCGCCCGCTTCGCCAAAAACCCTTCCAATGACCGGGATCTTACTTGAAACCAAAAGCCTTGAAAATAATAGTTGTATGTCGAAATGGGGCCGCAAAATGCTGGTTCCTTTTGGTTCCCCTTTTGTACAACCTCAAAAGGGTACCAACTTCCACACAAACACACAAACCCACCCGCCCACGCACGCAGGCACGCACGCCGCACGCACATGAGCACACGCGTGCAAACACAGAGACACAGAGACACAAAGACACAGAGACACAGAGACACAAAGACACAGAGACACAGAGACACAGAGACACAGTAACACAGAGACAACGAGACACAAACACACAGACACAGAGACACAGAGACACAAATACACACGCGCGCGCACACACACACACAATCATGCACACTCGTGCACGAACGTGCACACACGCGTACACGCCCGCGTGCAAAGCCACACAGGTATGCATGCGCGCGCGCGCACACACACACACACACATGTGCGCACGTGTGCACACGCGCACGCGCACACGTGCACAAACGCCCGCACCCGCGCACACACAACACACACACACACATCGCCAGGCTCAACTCAGTGAATGATTCGCGAGTACACGGTCAACCTTCATTGCTCATCTCTTCCCCAGCATATTGTATTTTCCAGAAGCTTCCCAATCGTTTATTGGCTGTATGTGAGAGAGAAGGATGTCCAAGAGATGGGAAGGGTCTAAACCGAGTCTTGAAAGGGATCCGAGCAAAGCCACCTCATCCCCCGGAATGGCTAAACAACACAGCTGAAACAACAAAGACCAGCTGTGGACATCGCACAAGCCGGCTCGGCCTTCACGCGAAACATGGCGATGTCTTGGCTTCACTACGTCTTCCAGAAGTTTTGCTCGGCCCTTCGATGTGTGTCTGGGGAGGTTCTGCTTGCCTCGAGTTGCTTTGCCAAATGACTCGTAGACTGAGACTGACGCGAATGTCGGCTGGGCCAAGCTGTCCAGAGATGCATGCAATAAAAAACGTGTTTCTCAATGCGGGGGTGTCTTAAAATGGGTCCTTTGGGCTTCGCTTTAAACAAAGGTAAACAAACAAAAAAGAGTACCCTCAAAAACAAACACAGCCATGTCAATTTTCAAGGAGCTTGAAGCAGAGCAACATGGTCTGCTGCTGCGCGTGTCTTTGTTTTTGCTTCTTGGGGAGACTGTGGTGGCTGGCTTTCAAGCCGACTACCCCTTTGCGAGCTTCCAAACTGTGAGACTCTCTTCGAACACCGTCCGGTGAAATTGCTCTTCGTTTTTTCGGCACGGGATACCTGGCTATAAAACAAACAACTACGTATTGGCAAACAAATTGGAAATCAACAGTTGCTTCAAGGTGTCCAAATATGAAGTTCATGGTTTGCCCTAACCTGCTGGGTTCCTACATGCCCCAAGACATCACCCTGCGGCAACTCAGCCAAAGGACATCTCATCAAACCCCGGTGCCTAAGCGGCGCGCACGGCCCCGGGAGTCCGGGAGGGCAGGTTTCGTAGCTGCCCCCTTGCACCCTAACAATCATTGCTCGCATTTATACGGCCGCGTTACGAGGTGGAGTTGGCACAGCAAACTGGAAAAGGCACACCTGAGGCACAATCAAAACCCGGTGAAACAAAATGGTCGACCCAGAACCATGGTAAAGAACTAAGAAGGCGGCCGCAGCTATTATTGGCTGGGATCGTCCCTTACTAACCTTCACTTACCCGGGTTTGATTGTGGCTCACCTGTTGATTGCGAAATACTAGCATGCTTGGTGGTTGTCGGTTCTGGGCTCAGTCACATTATATGATTTTATATCCTAGCTTGGCTTCATTGGTGGTCTCAACCTAACTCTCATCTCAACTCGATCTTGGTTGCAAAACGTAGTGATGTGTTACGTCCTTCTCAACAATCCTCAGGCAAAGCCTGCCAAGTTTCGAACTGTTCAGAAGGAAAAGCCTGATGGTGAGTCCCAACGTAGTGCAACTTTACAAAACACACACGGCATGACATTCCACCGGAAAGGGCTCTCACGTTGTTCTGTTCTGCCAAACACATCCTCGCAGTGCGCTCGCGCGGCTTTGGTCCGAGTGGTGCGCATGGCCTGAATTGGTCTTTGGTCTGTCGATCTACGCACTGTGGCGCCTCTGCAGGTACCTCAGGGCTGTCGTAAGCGCTGGAGATGCCACGTGCCGCCTGAAGGACCCCGCAAACAAGACGCTATCAGCCCATGGAAACCAACATACATGTTATGTTCAACCCAAGCCAATTGAAATAGGGGAACAACTCGCGAATATGGAGAGAGGGAGAGAGAGCGAGAGAAGAGAGAAAGAGAGAGAGAGGCAGCGAGAGAGCAGAGAGCGAGAGATCCACCTACCGTGTGAGCAACGGATCTTGTCGCAACAGAACAGTGCGCGAACGCATCACGTGCCGAGACTGTTGGGGCAAAGCTATCATAGGGATGGCCCAGTCTACCAATTTTCTGCCAAGTCGAATCACATGGCTGCGGCCAAACAGCAACCCCGTCAAGGAAAGCAATCCAGCTCCATGCACAAGGCTTGGACGCACCCAAAAAGGCAGGCAGAGGATCCCACAGAAATCTCCAAAAATGAAACTCATGAATGGGTGGTGCTTCGCTAAATCATTGATTGTGTATAGCAAAGGGAGTGGCATAGGACATGCTCAGCAAGGCACGACAAACGTTTGACCGTGGCTCAACTTCTCTTGGGAGTGTCTGCTCTTTTGGCGCGGCACGTGGCTCTCCCTCCCAACTGCACACATGCAGCGCTCTGAACATCTCCCGTGCGGGAATTAGCAAAAACTGAGACGATGCATCGAGCTGGTGCCTCACCTGTCTGACCCAACTGCCCCAACTGCCCCAACTGCCCCAACCGCAGGGCTGTGATCTGGGTGACTTTACAACCAATACCAGAATAAGGATTCCTGAGGGAAATAACAACCGTATCTTGTGCAGAAACTTGTCCATTTCAATTTTGGACCTAGAGCCAAGCATTCGATGTACATGACATGGCTGGATCGATGTTAGCACATGAGAAACACACTTGTGACATGAACACGTGCCTTCAACTCTACCAACACATCACAACCACATCCAAAGCATGGTTGTCCTGTGCTATCCACCTTTCAGCACCACCGCAGGTGGCTTGCCCATGTGAGTCGCTGTGCTTTTGAAAAACCGTTCCGTATCAGAGCTCATCTTGAGCATGGCTTGGGTGATGTTGAAACCACCCAAAAACGGACATCTATAAGAACCCCTGAAAGCCATGCCGGCTTTGCCACAAGCACAAGGCATATCGGCGCTCAGCTCGTTGAAACTGCGCGCGAGTCAGGTCTGGCCCTCGCCTACATGTCCTCACGGGGGTGGAATCGAACTGCATGCAGGGTTCCACATGGCGAAAGCGTGCGCAATTGGTCGCTGAAAGAGTTCCAAGGCCAAGACGATTTCCTGGGTTCGGTCATGTTGAAGCTCGGAGCATCCCTGTGGGAACAAACAGCGGGCGCAACTCCAAACTATTTAGTGGACCCCGCAATATAATTGGTTTCATTCTGCTTTCCGGTTAGCACCAAACAACATGTTGCGTCAACAAGGGGGAGTTGCCGCACTTTCAAGACCTTTGCTTCTTCGTATCGCAAAAAAAAACATGTGCTTTCTTTTTGCGGCAAACCCGGTCCTCAATGGCAGAGGGGTGGATTCATTGCTTGTTGCGGTTAGGCGGCATCATGAATATCTTGTCCCGCCTGCTGAGTCGAACACTGACTTGACGTGGATGGATATATATATATATACATGCTTGACAAAAGCAGTCATTCGAAGCGCGGACCCCCCCCCCCCCCCCGCTGACCCAACATGTTGACTCATATAGTCGCAATTACGCCTTTTTGCGCCCTTTTGGTGCAAATTAGGGGTAGTGGTTCTATGCATTTGAGGCATCCCTTTCTTTCCTGAAAAGGCTTTTCAGAAGGCTTGGGGACACCCTAACTAGTCCTTCTAGGGCCTAGTGTTAGGGCCGCTAAAAAAGGTCGCTATAACAACATGATTTTGCCGGGAACACATAGCCAGGCAACACAACTCGGGGAAACAAATCGGGAAGCAACAATCGGGCAGCTCTTTTTGTGGGGTGCGTGCGTGGATGGGCGGGATTTCAAAATCAACTCCTTAGCCTTTTACATTTGAAGGGTGGTTCATCCTAAGCTCTTCCCAGCTCAAAGGCCAAATGTTTAAAGCTGTAGCAATACTAGATTCTGAATTTGCAATACTAAATTTAGTACTAGCCGAAATCGAATCCAGACCCCCATGAAGCCACAATATTTTAGGGATTTGCAACCAACCCATGCCTGCAGTGGGGAAGAATGCGCGCACTACCTGAAAAGAAAGCGACCATATCTTACGCCCTTGCGAGAAAGAAAAAAAGGGGAGGCTGGGACTCTGCCCACCATGTCTTCCCCGCCCCAAAAAAAAACACCGCCAGCTACTTTGTCCGCTGCTCGTGCGTGTGTAAGCGCACGTGTGTGTGCTCAAGGGGGCCGAACGTGAGGGTGTGCTTGTTTGCTAGCTTCTTTTGTTTTGTTGTTTGTTGTGCGTTGTTGCTTGTTTGCTTGATTGCTTGCGTGCGTACTTGTTTGATTGTTTCTTTGTTTATTTTGTTTGGTTGGTTGCTTGTTTGTGTGTATGCAGGTAGGTAGGTAGGTAGGCAGGTAGGTAGTAGGTAGGTATGTATGAATGATTGTTTGTCGTTTGTTTGGTGTTTGTGTGCTTGAGTTGTTGCTTGCTTTTGCTTGTTTGATTGATTGGTTGTTTGTTTTGTTTGTGTGATTGTTTGTTTGCTTGCTTGTGTTAATTGCTTGTTTTGATTGTTTGTTTGTTTGTTTGGTTGGTTGGCTGGTTCGTTGGTTGATTGTTTGTGTGTTTGTTTGGTTGATTGCTTGTGGTTTGTGTGTTTGTTTGTTTGTTTGCTTGCTTGCTTGCTTGCTTGTTTGTTTGTTTGTTTGTTTGTTTGTTTGTTTGTTTGTTTGTTTGTTTTCTTGCGTGTGTGTTCGTTTGTTTATTTGGTTTTTGTGTGCTTGGTTGCTTGCTTGTTTGTATGCTTACTTGCTTGTTTGCGTGCTTGCTTGCTTGTTTGCTTATTTGCGTTAATTGCTTGTTTTGTTTGCTTTCTTTGTTTGTTTGTTTGATTGATTGATTGCCTGGCTGACTGATTGACTGATTGTTAGTTTGTTTGTTTGTTGAGTAATTTGTTGTTTGGTTGGTTTGGTTTGGCTTGGTTTCGTGTGGTTTTGTTGTTTGCTTGTGGGCGTGGGTGTGAGTGTGTGGTTTGCTTGTCAAAGGTGCGCGGAGACTCGGGATTTTTCAAATTCCGGCTTGTTCAACCTTTAAGCGGTGTCAAAGCAAACATTCACCAAAGCATGAGACAACATAGCTGTCAACATGGCACATGTCTCCCTCAGTTCTCTTTGAATCATTGAATCCTTGGGGAAGCAACCCAAGGCTAATGGTCGTATGGTTCTACCAACACACAAAGGTTACGCCGCTCATTAAAAACCTCGGTGCATGATGCTAAGTTGACAAATAAGCCGCGCATGCTGAGGAATACCCATGCTTTCAAGTGGGACGCAGCTATGACAGTGCGATCCGAATGCAGGTGACACATCGAGTACCCCATGACTCAAAAAACGGGAAAGCACAAATTCCCCACCTATGCCAGTCTCCATACTAAAAGGTTTCAGAAAAATCGGCTTCAAGCTGGTGCGGCAGGTGCTTGGAAACCTCCAATCCTCTCTGAAATTCCCTTCTGATTCCATGTCCCTGGTCGTTAACCAATGGAATCAACATGTTTGATTGCCTGTTGTAGTGGTAACAAG